TTCTTTTACCAATGTTCCAAAGACCACTGTTGCAAGAATCCTTAGAGAACAGCTTCTTCACCCTTACCATATCCAAAAAGTGCATGCTCTTAATCCTGATGATTTTCGTGCAAGAGTACAGTTTTCTCAATGGTTTCTTCAGAGACATGAGCAAAATCCTATGTTTACGAGATTAATTCTGTATACTGACGAAGCAAGTTTTGGGAGGAATGGAGTTATTAACTCCCATAATTTACATTATTGGTCTGATGAGAACCCACACGCTATTATTGAAACTAGGCACCAAAGACAATTTTATGTTAATGTTTGGAGTGGAATTATTGGTCCTTACTTATTGGGTCCATTTGTGTTACCCCCTAGACTGAATGGTCAACGTTACCTAGATTTCCTTGTGCATCAATTACCACAACTGTTAGAAGATGTTGATCTTGAAACCAGAAATGCACTGATATTCATGCACGATGGGGCGCCGCCTCACTTTAGTGCTGCAGTAAGGGACCATTTAAACGAGGTATATCCTAATCGCTGGATAGGTCACGGTGGACCTATTCATTGGCCTGCCCGAACTCCAGATATGAACCCACTTGACTTTTTCTTTTGGGGGCTCTTGAAAAATCTTGTTTAATCCACACCTGTAACCACTAGAGAAGAATTAGAAGAAAGGATTTTTTTATTGTGCAAATGAAATACGACAAAATCCTGAAATGTTATGGGGAGTGCAACAGTCTTCTGTTAAACGAGCTCGTATTTGTATAAGAGAAGGTGAAACTAATATTGAGAATTTATTATGAATTATATTAGTTACAAAATTTTGATTGTCATGCACTTTTCGTTTAGTTAGTTTAGTGAACTCCAAATTCTCATAATTTGGAACACTGCTATTGCAAATTATTTGTCCTTTATTCTGATATGTAAAAGCCAACTATGATTAAACCTGTGTTTCTGTTAAATAAAATGTCTCAAATTAAACAGTACCATTGTCTCTAAACTTGTTTTTCTACAAACGTCAAAATACAAAAGTTATAGCAAAAAAACCATTTTTAATTCTCAACTTCAAGAGCTAATAACTCTACAGGGTGAGCCCGGAGGAAAAAATTTTATATGATCTTGTGACATTATTTTCTCATTATCTATCCATATCCGAGAGATTGCCCACCATTTCCGGGACATTATAATTTAGTTGGAATTAAAAAGAAACAAAATGAAAAACATGTTGATAACCCATTTGTTTTGAAGGTGATTTAAACACTTTTCCGGTCGAAAATGTTGACTAACGCAATTCCCACCTTAGTGATACAACTTCATCTGAATTATTAACAGTTTGGCTTGATATAATTAATCTGTTTTTAATCGAAATGAAATAGAACTCGTGTATAGCATCTCTCTCAACATGATTACTAATTAAAGAGCCGCATGCATGCATATTTATATATTCCTCCATAATTAATAAAACAGTTAGAAATTGCCAACTTGCTACCGAATCCAGTTTGACGGCGATAAATTCTCTTTTTATGAACTTATGTAAATTCCAACTCTATATATAGGAACCAGTCGACGACGGACGTTGTGATCTTCCTGATATGTCCTACAAATATTTTACATATCAATAAAAGTCATAAACTAAAACCCATATTATGGATTTCAAGTTTATACGCACTAAAAATTTAAATGAAAGAGAAACCAATCTAAACTTTAAGTGTATATTAAAAAATGTTGTTGTTTTGAGGATACCTCGGCCACAAATTTAAAACGCCAGATAAGATTCGGTAATAGCGAGTGAAATGCTGATATATAACGTATTCCAACTATATAAAATTCCATAAAACGCTTTTCGAAAAACTAGAAATAAAATAGCTAATGCGTTTTAACATTCTTGCTGTTGGCTTTATCTATGATAAAGTCACTTAAGATTTAAAATTAAATTATTTTTTGTTAGCACCGGTCCTCATTTAAAAAACCATAAATAATGCACTATTTAACATTTATGCATTAAATATTTTTAAAAAGGTCACGGGTACCGTTATTAGTTAAAATTCTACAAAAAAATGTTAATGTTTACTCATTACCATTAAAATTATTTTTTGGGAACTGAATTCCTTGAGGATGTCAGGTAAGGTTATTATTCAGTCGCTGAATATTGCATAAAAGCACTGATATTACGTCAGTACAATAATTAAAGTTTCGATAGTTACCAAATAGGTATTGTTTATTTCTCGTAAATGAAAGAAGAATAATGTGAAGACATGAATAATTTTATAGGCATCGTAATATAACTGTATTTTTAAAAATAGAAAATAATTACTCAACAAACAAAAGTCCTTTAAACATTAAATGCAATAAATTATTATGGAATATTTTTTCCATGCTATTCAATGATAATTTTTTACATAACAAGAAAAATAACCTCCCAACAGCGGCAAGGAATAAATGATGATATGGTATTTCATTATGCTAATAATAACAATTTTATGAATCTACAGTCTGGAAGCTGGAATCTGTAATTTAAGGAGGGTAGCTTAAAAGCTACAGCACTTAGGCCCCATTGGGCCCTGGTACTTCCTCCCGTTAGGAGATCAATCCACCTGAGCCGCTAACCAACCTATTACAGAGAAAAAGGTGATGACGTTGCATAGGGAGATCTCTCTAATATAGGCCATAGAAGACCAACGTTCTCCCAACATGGATTCTCTTATTAACGAGACGACAGTGCATTTGCATAGCACATGTAATACTGTCTCGTCTTCCTGTTCACAACCCCTACAAAGAGGTGTTTCACACTTCCTCATGTTGTGAAGATGCCAGGTATTTTTTGGCTGTATCCTTGTTGGGGTATTCTAAAAACTCCTTACCAAATTGACAGCTATTTGTATCATCCCACAGTGTCATAAACTCTTTGTGGGTGTTTTCCTCAATAATTTCAGCGAGTGCTGACAGCAAAGCACACTGGAGGGCCCGGGCACTCTTGGTTACCTTGTCAGCTTCTTTATTGCAATTGCACCGCTCGTGTCCCTTGACCCAGCTTACAGATATGCTGTTGGAAAATGAGGACATGACCAGTGCCTGGTGGCATTCCTAACCTAGTCATTATCTTATGATTACGTAAGATCAGTAATGCTTGTCTACTATCTGTGTAGATTCTGATGGTTTCACCCGCAGTATGCTTACAGGCAATTTCTTTAGTGGCTATGGTTATACCTGCTGATTCCGTTTGTACCACATGCATATCCATTGCCCACTTATATCGGATATGCAAGGATCTAGAATAAATCCCACATCCTGCACTTTCCTTTCTTTTTGATCCGTCTGTGAAGACGTTGATTACATCTTTTAATGAGTACGGTGTAGGGTCTGTCGAATGCAAACTGAGGAGAAATACTGTCAGTGTCTGTCTGCAAAAGGGGCATCTCCCTGACGACTCCATTCCATAGGTGACTCCTAACTTCTCCACATCCTCATCCGGTTTGAAACAAACGTTCTTGAGGTGAAGCATGGTTGTCAAGGCCACTTCTCTTAGATGGATATCCAGAGGTGGCAGACACAGCATTACCTCCATTATTATGGTGGGTGTTGTTCGCATAGCTCCAGTTATGCTCATACAAGAATTCTTTGTACCTGGTCGATACCTTTTGTTTAGCTGTCGTCTGCTGGGATTTCGACCACAAGACGACAACTCCGTAGGCTAACATTGGTCTCACTATGGCAGTGTATATCCACATAACCACTTTTGGTTTCATTCCCCAGGTTCTACCAACGGTTCTGCGGAACTGCTCTTAGGATATGTATGCCTTTTTTAATCTTCTTTCAAAATGAAGATTCCATGTTAGTTTTGCATGAAGTGTTACCCATAGGTATTTCACATCAGATGCAAAGCCTAACGTAGTGTTTAGGGGAGTTGGTGCCTTTATTGGACCCAGTTTTCTCGTCCTCGTGAGGAGAACCATTTCTGTCTTCATGGTCCTCACACCACTTTTCAGTAGTTCTTAAGGCTGTTTGCATTCTTTGGCAAAGAGTCTTCGAATTTTCCACTGATCAGCATAGTGAGGTCATCTGCATAAGCGATGGTATAGATGCCGATTTCCGAGTTAAGGTGGCATATGAGACTGTCTAGAACTAGGTTCCATAGCAGTGGTGATAAAAACACCTTCCTACGGGCAGCCCCTTGAAACAATTCCTCTCGCGGAGGCATCCCCCACACTGATCTGTATAGCTCTTTTAGTGAGCACATTGGATCTACAGATGGTATGAATCTACAGTATTAGAGATATATGTGTCATTGATACAAAAATGAGCATCGAACAAAAAGGAATCTTCAATTTATCACATTTTTGAAGAACATTTGGACTATCGAAAAGTGTGCACACGGTTTGTTCCGCACAAGTTGACAAACGACCAAAAATTGCTTAGAATTCGATATTCCATGGATATCATTGAAAAAACAAAAAAGGACAAAACTTGCTTTAAAATATTGAGACTGGTGACGAAACGTGGTGTTTTTAGTCCAGAAACTAAGTGCCAGATGAACCAAAACCGAAAAAATCTGGAGAAGTCAAAAGTAAAGATAATGTTGATTTGTTTTTACGATTGTCTACAAAGAGTTTGTTCCACCAGACCAAACCGTTGACGCATAATTCTATCTTGGCGTTTTGAAGCGTTTGGTGTATCGTATTCGTCATATTCGGTCAGAATATTGCGTAGAAGGAAGTTGATATTTGTTGCACGATAATGCGCAATCTCATTGATCCATTTCTTGACTAAAAGTCGCATTTTAACTGTCAACCTATTTACCTTTTCGGAAAAATGCATTTGCAAAAAAATAGTTTTGTGGACGTTTTGTAGAAGCCATCCAAAAGGCATCCTGAAGGATATCGCAGACGACGATCTAAAAAAACTCATTAGACATGAATTTTTATCCAATAAAGTTGTGCTCGGCTTATAGGGGCCGCAAAAATCCCAAACAGGATGATTTTTTTCAGGGTTGGTTGGGGACTGCCTCCTAAGTATCCAACCAAAAGATCACATTCAATCTCCTGGTACGACTTGAGCTATGGGGGTGATTTCCTAAATTTTTTTTTAGAGCAAAATTATCTAAATAAAACTTGTAGAGGATCAAATTCTGAACCACTTTTCCCTATAAAATTTTTGTGTATCGCTAATACCTAACGAGTTACTGCGCATTATTTGAAAAAAATTGCGCACGCTGCATGCAGTGGTGATCTTGTTGATGTTTTGGATAATCAGGAGGCAGTCCCCAAGCAACTCTGAAAAAATCATCCTTTTCGAATTTTTTTTATAAAATTATCTTCATTGGATTATTATTTAGGCCGTGCAAATCACTGTATTGAGTCGGAAGAACTATTTTGAGTAAAATAAATCGGTTTTGCCAAAGAAAACGTTTTTTTCTTATTTTTATAAAATCCTGTTTACATTGGAACATCTTGATTCAAGTAAATACTTGATTTATGTGACCTATTTCAGATTTTATTCAGAGGATAAATATCTTAACCTGAGCCTCCGCTAGGTAATCCAAATACATGCATTTTAATTAAAGTTCGTTTCTAGACGATGACGCCGCGTAGACAAATAATGAAGAATTCGTTTGTGTGATGCGAGTCCATAGGCGTATCATTTTATAAGGTTAAAAAAATTAATAAATATAGAGCAACAAATAGATATGTCTATTTTGAATAGAAACTAGATTATTCTTTCAAATTTATATTGTCTGAAGTTATTGTGGCAGTTAAACAAATTTCAAGTGTCAAAATGCTTCAAAATCGAAAGTCGTTATAGGTTCAGGAGACAAAAACATACATTTTTCGAAACGTTAACAACTTTATAAAGTGAGCAATATAATAATTATTATGTGATTTTTGTAGTTGTTTGCTTTTTTCAGTGACAAATTTTTGGTAAGGCAAAATTATTTTCAAAAAATAATTCCTTTAATGCATTGGTTTATTTTATTAATTTTTAATTTTTTNAAGCGTAAAAATGACAAAAAGAAGCTTATAATCTAGTTTACTTAACTCACTTGTACACATTGACATTAGTGACAGGCGATGTTTAATTTTATTTTGAATAGCACAAGCCTACTATGCGAAACTAAAATGAATGAAAATAAAATTGGATTTACAAATTTTCTACAAAGGTGTTTCTCTTAAAAATGGTTGCTTTAATCCAAATTTTGCAAGAGACCAATTCGATAGACAATTGAACACTTTACACGAAAATAGTAGCCCTTTTGACAAAATTGGCAGTGGCGTAGAAAATATTTTTAAAAAAAGGTCACGTTGACCCCGTCTCTACGACACTGCAGCTCATAAAATTTTGAGCAGTACATCAAACATTGGTCTTCAGGTGCTAACTACGCATAGCAAATTTGAAGTAGAAATGTTCAGGCATTTTGGAATTATTACAGACAATGTTTAATTTTACAGAAACTTTGACGCTCTGTATCTCGCTGAGGAGGCATTTGCGACCCTATGTTTATTAAGACTTTTCGTCTTAATTTTGTATGTATTATCTACCCTAGAAGTCTGTCAGCGGTTTTTTGAATCACCCTGTATAAAGTGGAACATACTGTCTAGTTAAACTTTAAATGGGATATCCAAAAAATGAGTTTGTTCAGAATTAACGTAAAATACTAAAAAAATCATCATTACATAAGTTTGATATGTTTCTGTGGTTATGGCAAATATTCGCGTTGCACAAGGTCACATAATGTAAAAAGGAAGGAAGTGCAATTTTGTTATGTTCCATTTTAGGTCAGAGACTTATCAAATCACCCCGTATTATAGAAATTTTCGTGAATTATGTGGTGTTGTGTTATCTCGTTTATGGAGACAACTAAAAGTGATATCTTGAATTATCAGGTTGGTCTCAACAAATTTTTGACAACATCTAAGCATGGCTATTAAATTGTTAATTGTTGCCGTCCGGATGTAAACCTGGCCATATTCTTTTGTTAGTTTAAAAAAAATTNAGTCGATGGAGTTCAAACAAGTTTCAAGATTAAATTGCCTTTTAATTCTCGGACATTAAACTTCATCATCGAGGTTAAAATATTCACTTATTTCCTTACAGAACATATGTAGAAACACTAGTTGAAACACATTTTTTTCGGGAAAAATCCTCGAACAGGTCGATTTTTAATTTAAAAAATACATATTTTAGTATAAAAGGTGATTTTCAACCGTCATATGTTTTCGAGTAATGACGTCATCGACATTTTTTTTTTAAATAGCAACCCCTTATTTTTTTTCTTGATTCTGAAAGATTATTTCATTGTCGATCTGACAGTATTAAAATGTTGCCATCTTACATAGGAAAGTTTTCGAGTAAATGACAATAATTGAATGTTAGAAAACGTAAATTTTATTCATTAAAAAAATAACAATTCCTATGTCAAGCAAATACAATTCATTATTCATTAAGTTTTCTGCCTAAATTAAGTGTTCGAATTGCCACCCATCGACTTCTTGACAATACGCAAGTCTTTGTAGAAATTCTTCTTGCACATTATGAATTATTTCTGAGGTAACTCTGTGTATTTCATCTATAATACAATTTTGGAGTTCTTCTAAATTATGTGGTCTATTAAC